CGGCCGTTGTTGGCCAGCACGCGCGCGTTGGCCTTGAGCACGTGGTTGAGCGCGTGCAGGCAGTACAGCAGGCGCACCTCCTCGCCCGCCGGGCCCGCGCCCCGCTCGGGGAACAGCACGTCGCGGTAGGCGCTCATGGCCGCGAACAGCTCCCGCTGCCGCGGCGTGAAGGGGCCGCGCGCGCCGGCCAGGAAGGGGCCGTTGGCCGTCGGCCAGGTGGCGTCCAGGGGCTTCTGCAGGTGCAGCGACTCCACGGCCACCTCCTTCGGCGGCCTGAAGGTCTCCAGCGTCTCAAACTTGGTGGAGAAGACCACCTGGCCGAGGACCGGCCACTGGGGGAGGCAGGGCGAGAGCCGCGTGGGCCGGACGCCCGCCACCGTGGACGCTGCCCCTCGGGGCCGCCCCGAGTCCCCAGGCACGCACCCCACGGGCAGGAGCGCCCCGCAGAGCAGGGGGGGATGGGGGAGTGGGCCAGGCCAGGCCGGGGGCCCGGGCGGCCCACGGGGCACGCCGAGCTCACCCACGGCCACCCCTCATCAGTGGCCCCCGTGGGGACGACAGACGGAGAGGCCACCCGCACCCCAAGTCACCCCAGGGACACCTCATGTCTGAAACGTGGCTCCCGTGGCGGCCCAGAGGCTCGAGAGCTTCGTGGACAGGGACGGCCCTGACCCCACCGACACGGGCCGGGCCTGACCCGTCTCGGCCCTGGCTGTCGGTCTGAACCCCACCTCCACAGCCCCTGGGGAGTGCGGCCCCCAGCCCGGCCCCCCACCGGCCCCCCCTGGTGGGCAGCACCTCTGGTGGCCGGGCCTGGAAGCCACTGTGCGCCCTGGGCCGGCCGCCACTCACTTTCAGCTGCTGCGTGGTCCTGGGGTTCGTGGCCGCGGCCTGGACGTCTTTCTCCTTCAGCTCTCGGTTCACGTGTTGGAAAAACGGATCTGAGGCAGAGCAGAGGCTGTGAGGACGCCCGCGGCCCCCGCCAGCGCCCCTCCTGGACAGCCAGGCCGCCCGCTGACCACCGTGCTCTCAGGCCCGAGTCTGGGGAAGCCAC